GATGATTAGAACCCAGGGCCTTGTGCATTCAAGGCAAGCACTCAACCATTGAGCCACATTCCCAACCCTTTTTTTGTGTTTTATTTCAAGACAGGGTCTCACTGAGTTGCTTAGGGCCTTGCTAAATTGCTGAGGCTGGCTTTGAACTTGCAGTCCTCCTGTGGTCAGCATCCCAAACCGCTGGAATTATAGGCATGTACCACTGCACCCAGCCACTGGTCTCTCTTATTTTAAAATAATGCTTATTTCCAAGGGAAAGCACTGCTTTTTGTATCTCCATGTTTCTTTCTTTCTTGTTTATTATCTACGGGAAGAGTTTGATCTAACTGTATTATTTGCAGATGATCTTAAATCTGAGCAACTTTATCAAATTTTAAACCATCATCAGAGTTGGCCTACATTTGAAAGTCTGTTACCTCATGTATCACTCCCTCCCTGGATTGTACACTCAACTAATAGGGTATTTGTTGAGTACCAACTTTGAGTAGACCTTTCTGCAGGTTTATTAGAGGACATAAAAGGAATACAAGATATGAACCTTGCCCCCTATAATTTAATACTATAAAAAAGTGTGGACTCTGGGTCATACTACTTAGCTTCTTATTCCAGATCCCTTACTTCTACCTATATGATTTTGAAAAGATATTTAACCTTTCTCTGTCCCTTTTTCTTAATCTGAAAAAAAGGTTAATAAGAATACTTATAAAGTCGTGTGATGTATTAATGATATTAACATGCATGATTATTGTTCCTGGTATGTAGAAAGCATTACATACCATAAAAGTGATCACTACAGCAATCATAAATAAAATACTCAAATCAGAACCAAGATATCACATAATTAAATTACACAATGAGGGTTGAAAATAAATCTAGGCTGTTCATAAATTGACTGTCTTTTCCATATGCCATCCTGCCTCCTTAAATATCAAAGTCCCAGGCTGTTTACAGTCTTTGTTCAGAAATGAGAAAAGATAAAAACCTGTAAAAATCCTGAACTGTTTAAGGAAATTTGGTTAAAACTTCCAGGTAGGTCTTCCTTTCCCCAATTCAGGGTGTTCCTTCCCATACTCAAGCCTGTCTGCACCTGTTCACTTTGTGTTCTGTATTACACAAAGTGAACAGAATGAATGTTTGGCAGTTGAAGACTTGAGTGAATAGCATTCTCATTTATCCTTTAAGGATGCTAAGATCCAATGAGTCAGTTTGTACCTTAGTATTGCAATCAAATTCTTTTTCATAGATTATTTGGCCAAAAGTCAGAGTTGATGAAAAAACAAACAAAAAAGTGGAAATTGTTTAGAACAGAGATGAGTAATTTTGAACAGAGTATTTTATTTGCTCAGTAGAGATTTTTCAGTGGGTGTCAGGCAGCATGACATCATTGGGGATGGGAGGAAGGGACAAAGAGACAAATGATAGAATGTCAAAATTATTTCTTTTCTTCTTAAGTGTTGTCTATTTTAATTTATTCCTAATATTATAGTTGAAGCAAAGTTTTTCCGGCTCAAGCTAGGAAGCTAACTTGGATTCCAAATAATAAAAAGCATAAAAGTCCCTTAAATTTTTTTGGAATGTACCTCCTTTGTAAATGATGCAAACAGTAATAACTTTGTAAATTCAGAAGAGTTTTTTTTTCCCTGAGGGCTGCATTATGGGAGTAGTCAGGGAAAAAATAGCACTTGAACTGGATGATTGTTTTTAATATGAATAGTAGGAAAGTGAAGAGATTAAAGGGGTGAAGCTGAGGGCAAGTATGATGTCTGAAAAAAAGTAGAAAGTGGTGGAAGATGAGATTGACATAGTAGTATTTCAACCTTGTGGCTGAAAAATCAGATTTTTTTCTTTAGAATTAGTTGTTTTACTGCTTACTATTTTACACTATAAGTTTAATTCCAAATTATCCTCCTTTTTCAGTGTAAGCTAATTTTATGCTTTAAGAAATAGACTAGATGGAATTCTTGTTTATAGAATCCGAGGTTTTAAATTTGTCTTTCTACTCTGAAATTTTTAATTTATTTTTATGCTAGGGATTGAACTCAGGGACTGTTTCCTACTGAGCTAGACTTACACCCTAGTCATTTTTTTTTTTTTTTTTTTTTAGTCAGATCTGAAATTCGTATTTCAAAGATGAGCTAGGCAGGACCCATTTCAAAGCTTGATTTGCTATTGATTCAAATGGGCGTTCTCAAACTGCATACAACAGAATGTCAGTCTCCCAAAGATAGGGGACAAACCCAATAGGACAGCTTTGTGGGTCTAATCTATAGATATAAAAATTAACACAAAATTTCTATATTTAGATTTTAACAAGTTCTGTTTAACATCTTTTCTGTGCATTGGGTGTTATTTTGAAGTACTTTATAAAATTTTCATCATTAAAACACTGTGAAGTAGGTATTTACTCCATATTACAAATGGGAAAAAATAAGCTCAAAGTTACCATTTCTATAGAGCTAGGGAAATGGGAAGCCCTACACTAGGGTATGCATCTGAAATACATTACCCCAAATATTTTAATGTACTAAGTCACCTAACACCTGAAAACAAATTTTCATTTTATGATCAGTGAGAATCTTGCCAGGTAAGATAGTGCACACCTGTAATCCCAGCCACTCACAAGACTGAGGCAGGATTGCAAGTTTAAGACCAACCTCAGCAACTTAGCAAGACCCTAAGGACATAATGAGACCCTGCCTCTAAACAAAACAAAAATGGGATGGGGACATGACTCAGTGGTTCAGTGACTCTGGGTTCAATCTTTAATTTTCTTCTAAAAGAAAAAAAAGAAAAAACCTTAGGTAATCAAGATAGTCAAACTGTCAACAAAGACTTCTGTAGATATCTAGTCTAAAGATGATCAACTTTCACTAATAACTCTTATATCAATTTACAAGTTAACTGCTGCCTCCTCAATAAGCATTCCTAAAATAAATGCTATCCCCTCTAAAATACAAATCGTAATGAAATTTAGATTAGTCAGGGAATATCACAGCCATCTTAAATACTTCTTAAGCTAGTTATCTGGAATTCTAAATTTAAGATCCGAGATTTCAGATATAATTCAAAATCTACTTGGGTATTCTACCTTGAACTTAATAAAAAACTAATTTTTTTTGTTAGTTTTTTAAAAAAATCAAATGTTTACATTTTAGAATTTACCATCCTAGCTACATAAAGTTTCCTAAGGCCAGAGCGGGTGGGGGACAAGTTACCTAATAAATGAATATAACTATCAAGCACACAGCATAATCTTTCTTTGAAAGTTCATGAACTTCTTAAAGTGTATTAAATTCCAGATCTGAATTTCAAAATTTAAAACATTTTACCTTACTCTACTGTATCTAAGAACTATTGGGCATAAATTTTTTTAAAGGGAAAACTAATTCAGCGTATTAAGACAAAGACAATAGAAATAATATACATGATTTTATTACAATTTTTTTAGGTGTAGTTGGACACAATGCCTTTATTTTATTTACTTATTTTTTTATGTGGTGCTGAGGATGGAACCCAGGGCCTCGCACATGCTAGGAGAGCACTCTATAACTGAACCACAGCCCCAGCCCCACAATTAAAAAAACAAACAAACAAAAAAACCCCACCAAAATGCAATATCCTAAAAACCCCCAAATTTACTAATTCCTACCTGTTTGCTGTGCTACCATACACAAGAAATTAAAGAAACCATTAAATATTTAGGAACATTCAACACCAGAAGCTTTAAAATATAACTGTATGTAGTAGCCCTTCAAAAAACTACGATCTAAATTTTTAAAAATGTATTTCCTCTACAAAGAATCTTAGCCACTATACAAAAATCTGTACACAGTTTTTATACTGAAGCTAATATTGAGCTGCACTTGAATTCACATTCTTAGCAAAACAGTTGCCTGAACACACACACACACACACACACACACACACACACACACACTCTACACACATCATTACAGGACAGCCACTAATTCTTCATCCTCTCCTCTTCCTCATCATTCTTCCTCCTCCTCTTCTTCCTCCTCTTCCTCTTCATCTTCTGGTTAGAGTTTTGCTAAGTTGCCCAGGCTGTCCTTGAATTTGAGATTCTTCTGCCTCAGCCTCCTGAGTTGCTGGGATTATAGGTGTGTGCTACCATGTGCTGCTGGAAATCATTTTAGATGACAAGTTCTTTAAGCAATATGTGATACCATAGTCAGCTATGTTAAGCATTGTAACAATGAATTCTGTAGGCCTCCAGTTTTGAAGGCAAAGAAAACCTTCAAAATACTCTATTATGAAGGCCTGAGATAAACCCAGTTCTTTAATTCCTTCCTACTTTTTCAGTTTATATAGATGTACATGGTAATGTTTATAGAGATGTACATGGTAATGTTTTCTCCCGTTTGTGATATGTATGGAAATTAATGGAGAAAATAGGAGAAACTTCACTGAAAATTTTGCAGAAGCACATTCTATACAGCAAGAGCCAATTGTATTTAAATTTCCAATGTATTTTCCAGAGGCATCTATGAAGTGTGTGTGTGGGTGTGTGTGTGTGTGTGGGTGTGTGTGTGGTAAGAGATTCAGAAAGACTACCATATGCCACAATTTTTAGTTATTTAGAATGCATTTTTTTTCTTTGAGTCATGTCTGTTGGAAATATAAAGTGCATATGAATATTTACAAATCAATATTTAAAAAAGAAACTCTTATCTATATCTGATATAGATAATAAGCCCCAATATAAATCCTTATAAGACATATGAAACTTGAAAACCCATTGTTTCTGTTCCAGTGGCTGCTATTTCCAGTTGAATTTCTCTTTAATATTGTGATATATCTTGTCTTACATAAAAGTTTTTTTTAAATATAGTATGTTTATACTCAAGTTGAAAAGTATCTCCAGATTAATAATTCCAAAAATTCTTAAAAGAGGTTTGTGCAGATATATATATTTTTTAATTTCTAAATTCACCATTTTGATACAAATACCCATGGTTTTCTTCTGTGTTTACATGCAGCCAGGAGCTATGGGCGGAGACGAGGTAAAAAAATTTTTTTAATGAGATCTTTTGCTTGCCAAATTGTGAGTAAATATGAGTGTGTGTGTATTTAATCCCTGTGTGTATAAAACAAAAATTGTTATATGGTGTGATGTTTTAACTTAATTATTTTAGCAAAGTAATTAATTTATTACTTTCATTACAATGACTTTTATTGTTTGTTGGTAATTTGTTCTTTTAAGCCTAATAAAGGTATGGAGAAGATTTTTTCTACCTGGAAATTTTGTTTTCTGGCTTATTGTGAATAAATGTGAGGAAATAAAAGGCCAAGCATATGTATTTTTTTGCCTTGTATTCACTATGTTCTGTTCCTTTTTTGAGTTGGGGGTACACTGGATTGAACCCAGGGTTGCTTTACCACTCACCTACATCTTCAGTACTTTGTATATTTTGAGATAGGATCTTGTTAAGTTGCTGAGGGTTTCGCTAATTTGTCCAGGCTGGCTTCAAATGTACAGTTCTCCTGCCTCATCCTCAGTTGCTGAAATTATAGGCATGTGCCACTATGCCTGACTCAATTTGTTTCTATTTTCAAACTACTTAATACTAGTTAAAAGACAGAGGGTAGGTTTTAGAAGGTGTTTTTTGATCTCAGGTTGACTGGTGATTTATTTATTAACTTATTTATTTATTTTGCCACATCCAAGAGCAAATTTACCCCAAAGCTTAAATTTTAGGGGCTCTTATCAGCAGGGGTGAGTGCCTTTCAAAGTCTTTACCTATAATGTTGTGTTATTTTACTTAAAGAGGTGTATCAAAATGGGCTTAAGTCCCTATAAAACCTGTGTTCTTTCCTGGTAATTTCTGAATGAAGCAATTTAACTTCGATTTGTGTAATGCTGTAGCCTTTCTAAAGCATTTCCATATCTGTATTTTTTTTCAAGTAAGTTTAGAAAGTAGCTAGAGAAAGCTTAGTGTAGTGGAAAGAATATACGAGAACATCAGGCCAAACATCTACGTTGTAATCACTGCCTTATCACTTAGATCTGGTGTCTTCATCAGTAAATTATGAAGTAATAAAACAAATCTTGTCCAACTTCAGAATATCAATGAAGTTCGGGTTTTTAAAAAAGGACAAGAAAATAAATCAAAAACATTTCATAAATGTAAGATGCTTTGGCGCTCATTTGCAGAAGCTGGGGAAGTAATTTACTTGCTGTGTGACCTCAAGTTAAAACACAGAGCCAAGATTGAAATTTGTGTTTTGATTCCTTATTTGCTAAATGTTTACCATTTATCAGGCTGTCTCTGACTTCATAGTTGTCTCAAAGAAAAGATAATGATGTTAAATTTATAGTATTGTATTCCATGGTAAATATTTGTTGAATGTATGTTAGAACCATCTAATTGCTTTGCTTTTCAACATCATCATGTGGAAAAATATTTCTACTTTTTGTTATTTCTCAACTGTAGAAATTAATAACATTAAATTTTTTGCTTTTCTTATTTTTAAATTTTAAAAGTTAAAGCTAGAGATATTATTAAAATCATTCTGTACTATGCTTTTTTATGCTAGAAAAATGATCACTGTTAAGAAGGAATAGGAAATGGACCATTTCACTTGGAAAATAAACAGGGACTGGCCTCTCCTCTTCTCACATATTAATCAGTCACCAGATCTTGTTAAGATTTCACCTCTAGTTTCTCCAGCCTTGTGCTTCTCTTTTCTCCTGCTTTTGTTTCTGCTTTTCCATTTCTAGTGCCTAATCTGTTTTGTCCATATCACCCATATTCTTCCTCATTCAGGGTTCCCATGATCTGGTCCCTCCCTGTTTCATTATCTCTCATTTTTACCTCCTTCTCCTCCCCCTGACTAGTCCATGTTTTCTTACTTTCTGGCATACTCTCATCTACTTGTATAACCTATTATTTCACTAGTTTAAGCCCAATTCAGGACTTATGCTTTCTAGGAAACTTTGCCAGTGGCCTTGAGGACAGTTTTTTCTCTCTTTCTGTTGCTTTGCACTTTTCTTTTCTATGCCCTGACTGTTCAACTGGAGATAAATTCTTTGATAGACAGTTGTCTCTTATGCCTAGCACTATGCCCTATGTATATTAGCCTATATTAAATGCTCATTCATTAGAATTATTTTGAAATAACAAACACCCTTACATCTATGTAGAACTGAGTTTGGCATCATATTTTTAGTTTTAAATTATATATTTTATTTATTTATTTAGTAGTACTGGGGATTGAACCCAGGGCCTCATGAATGCTAGACAGGTGCTCTATCACTGAGTTATATCCTCAGCCCAGTATCATAAGTTTTTAAAAATTATTTTATTAGCTGGATGCAGTGGCATTCCTTGTAGTTCCATCTACTCCAGAGGCTGAGGCAGGAGGCTCCCTTGAGCCTAGGATTTGGGGCTAGTCTTGGCTACATAGCAAGACCCCTTCTCTAAAACACAATAATAATTTTCTTATTTTTGTAAATAATAGCACATTATATTATAGACATAAAGAGTATAAAATCAGGGCTGGGATATAGCTCAGTTGGTAGAATGCTTGCTTCACATGTACAGAGCCCTGGGTTTGATCCCCAGCAACACATACACACACACAAAGTATAAAATTGTGTAGTTTCCAAGCTCCTGAAAACAATTACTTTTGTTTTGTTTTGTTTTTTGGTTCCAGGGATTGAACCTAGAGGCACTTAACCACTGAGCCACATTTGCAGCCCTTTTTATTTTTTATTTTGAGATCCCATCTCAAAATAAATTCCCGAGCCACTGGGTATTCTTTTTTCTGTATTACCTTCTCCACATGTATTTGTAAAGTTTAATTGATTTCAAATGTCATATTTTTATTTTCACAAAACACTATACTATGTATATCAATGATGTGATGTCTGCTTTCTATAAGTCTGAAATTTGATAGTTATAGATCAGCCAGGGAATGGAGACAGAAAGAAAGGAGGAGGGGGAAACATTGAAAGACTGAATTTTGAAAGTGAGAATGTTTGTTTCATGCTTAATAAACCCCCAAATCTAAAAAAGAAGAAGAGTCATGTTCCTTAAATATAATGATGTAGCCACTTGGGATGGAGCACATACACCTCATCTCTAACATTCCCATTCCCTAAGATATACTCATGTGGACTCTGCATAGTGTAATTTTGATGAACTGACAGGCTTCCTCATGCTCATTTATTCAGGTGATCAGGATTAAAATGACGTTTGATCTTTCTTCCAATTACCTTTTTTGTTTTGTTTAGTTTCGTAACAGGGATTGAATCTAGGGGCATTTAACCACTGAGCTACATCCCAAGCTCTTATTATTTTTTATTTTGAAGCAGGGTTTCACTAAGTTGCTAAGAGCCTTGCTAAATTGCTGAGGCTGGCCTTGAACTTGCTATCCTCCTGTCTCAGCCTTCTGAGTATTTGGGATTACAGGCATGCACCACTATTCCCAGCTTCTTCCAATTAATATTTAGACTTGCACTAAAAATGTATAAAAAATAAACTTGCTGATGTGTTACTTCATTCTACCTATGATTAAGACTAGAACTCATATTCTATGTGTTACACATGCTTATAAATCTTTTAGGAATAGAAAGTAATGAAAATATATGTGAAAGTTTTGAGTTCTATCAGCAAGAATTAGGCCATTGGAATCTTACACCTTACTTGATAAACCTGGAAAAAGTTTCCTGAAATAGGTAGAATTTCACGAACTATTTGGATGATGGAAGAGGAATGTGAAGCAAGCATTCTAGTTTGTTATTCAACTGAGAAGAAAGCTTTAGAGGTGGGATTGGCATGACCAGATGCTTGGAGCATATGTCCCTGAGTGTGTGCATGGGGCCAGCTGGAGAGGACAAGTTGGCAGTGAGAATGGTCTATGCTTCCTTGATGAATGGTTTTTGAAACAAAAGATGAGACTCTTGGACATAGACATTGAAGGCTTTTGAAATAGAGTTTCATGATATGAGTAGTGACTGCAGGAAACTTGGGCATCAGCTAAAGACTTGGATGAAAGTGTTGAGGGTGCACACCAAATACTTGTAGTAATATAGGTAAAATAGTAGTAGAGAAGGAGAAGAATAGATGTGAAAGTTAATATCAGCTTTATGTATTTATTTAGTTTTCTCATTGATATCCATTTTTATTTTGTTCCAGAAGATAATTCCTTTTTGTTGCACCAACGAATCTCAGCATTTTCTTTTAGAAATATTCTTTCTTTAACAAGCTTTAATATGTGTTCTCATATACGATTGTAATCCATATTTGAAACAAGTCTTTTGAGTAGTGTCATCCAAGATCTTTGTGTACACATTTAATATATGTTGTATTTTTCATTCACATGGTATGAGATTTTTTATTGTTGTTATTTCTATATGACTCTTGTCTGTATGTGTGTGAACTGAACATGTTGGCTGTGCCAGTGATTTTTTTCTTTTTTCTATTTTGGTGCTGAGGACTGAATCCATGGCTTCATGCATGCTAAGTGTGTACCTGCCCTATACCAGTGCTCCTGATATTGAATGGGATTTCCTAGTTATAGAGCAATAAGGAAAATATAATTTTTTTGAAATACTGGAGTACACATGCTAAGCAAGTACCTTATCCCTGAACTACATCGCTAGCCCTAAAAGATCCTTTGAAACAATGTACATCAGCAAATATAAAGAGTTCTTGTTACAAATGTGCTTTTGCATATACTTAGTTCATGAAAATCTACTGATATTAATTAATGACTTAATTGATAATTAAAGTTCTAAAGTACAATAAAACAAACTTGTATACTGAGTTGAGGTCAAGTCTTTCTGTCAAAAGTCTGCTCAAGGGAGGAATGATCAGTTATTCTGAAGAGATCATGGTACAAATATGCCATCCTACAAATTCAAACCACTTATTTGAGCTTGTTTATTTAAAGATATGGCTAGTTCTGGAGTAAAACATGGACATAATTTGAAGAGCTTCCTGATTGTTCATGACTGTAATATCTTAAAATGGTACTGCTCATCCTAGTAATAGGAAGC